TAACAGCAGCGTGATTGTTTACGTTGAGTTAGGGAACTTACCGCTGTAAATGAAATTATCGTAGTCAAAATTTGAAAAAGTAAATATAGGTATTCAGATCCGTTGGAATTACCTTCTTGTTTTATGCGTAAAATTGAAATTGTTTTACAGTAGATGCATCGACGTCAAACAAGAAAATCAACAGTCAGAGGATAGCGTGGTTTCAGATTCAATAAAACCGGAAACAGATTTTTCAAGACGTTTGTCCTCTTGTGCAACTGGTAGGAAAACATTAGTTAGCGTTCACATGCTGAATTATTTCCTTAGGTTCTTCCATTCTTACGCGTACAACTGATCATTCGACAGGTCTCTGCGCATTTCCCAAGTCAGAAGAACAACAGGACTGTAATGTGCAATGAAATTGTGTTTGTTCTTTATGAGCTCAGCTACTTTGAAACTTTGATTTTGGTCGCATTGTAATGAACAATTTTATGTTGGTCATTTGTCATTTTATATGCGTAGTACATATGTTTGTGTACCGTCATGCCACTCTTAAAATTTTTTTGATTTAGATGAAGACGGCAGCAATTGCAGAATAATCCAAAATATCAATTAGTCAATCAGTTAGTTTCAGACACCGCCTACCCTTTCGGGTCGCGAAGGCAGGCACTTCAGACAGTGTTTCCACAGTTCCTCGTTCTGCACCAGCGTTTGGGCTTCGGCATATGAAAACTTGAGTCTGTGGAAGAGTCCTTACATACACCTGCCCCAGATTATTCTTGGCCATTCCCAGAGTCCTTGGCCTGTCGATTGGGCAAGTGTAGCTCGTTCGTCTTCATTTTTGACGGCATTCGCAATGCCTGCCCAAACCGTCGCAGTTGTGACCTTTCAATCTGGAGAAGCAGCAGCTGTAAACAAAGGCTTCCTAAGATATCTGTACTCCGGATCATGTCGAGATGCGTGAGCCCGGTGATTCGTTTCAAAAAGCCTATTTCAGCCGCTTTTAATCGAGATCATAGTTTTTCAGTCATGACCGTAGATGTTCATCGGCATAAAGGTGTTCTTCCACACAGAGAATTTAGGCTTAAAACTCAGCTCTGCTTTAGTCACAATGTTCGAGCTAGTTCACATAGAACGCCACTGGCTACTCCAATCCGTCGGTCGGCTTTTTCCTTAAATTTTCCATTACCAGTTAACATGACTCCGAATTACTTCAAGGAAGGAGAAAGTTTTCGGTTTAGATGTGTTCACACGCATGCCGGCCACGTCTCACTCAGCTGCGAACCTTTCCAGAGAGCACTGTAGATCAGTTTCAGAAAATGCCACCAAGGCAAGATGTTGTAACATGTCGCCAAATATGTTGTGTCTTCTCAGTGCCAGGTCTGGATATAGGTTTATTGCGGTGGCCGAGCCAGGCAAAGCAAACTCTCACAGGCGAGACGATACAACATTGCACACAAGTAACAAAACGATGGGTTTATATACTCGACGATCGGCGCGTAGTAAATGGCGCTCTCACATGTGCTAATGCCTAGAGCGCATGATTTGATCTGATTACGTGGCGATGTGAAGATCACAACATGCAAATAAAGTAGTCGTTCGCATCAATGCACGAGTGACTCATGGCGATGACTAATGATCGTCCGTAACACCTCTTCCACTGAAGATTGGAAACGATATCAATCAAATGCGAATCTTCGTGGTGGTCGTCGGGTGCGTGTCGACCGACGGATTGGTCCATGAGTTAATTCGTAAAGTCACTGCTCCGATTATCGTCACTGCATCAAAGCGGCGAATTGTTGCCTGGTTGCAGGCCGCTGGTTATTGTGTCACCATTACTGCTGCCATTTGACTGCACGTCCAGCGGATAAAAGAGAGGCGCCTGTCTAGGCCGGTTTGCACTTATATCCGCGTTAGCACGTGGAATGATTTGATTGGCATGTCTTTTGAAATCTTTGCCTTGATCTGATGTGCTTGATACCATTAGACATGCAGAAGTCCTGGAATTCAGTGGAAGTGAAATGGGTTACATTGTCGGAGACGAC